TTTCTCTGCTGGTCTCTTTCTCAAAGCACAATCCACCACTGTGCCAACACACAACTCTGGAAGTTTCCTCAGGAACTTTGTCCTGGCATAGACAGATACACAGACAGTCCGACCGCCTCCTCTCAATGCCACCACACTTGCAGAATGTTCCAGACTGACCATGGCCAGAACTCCTGGTGGAGGTTCTGGGGCATTTATGGGGAAAACCAGGGTTATGAAACTCCAACTTCTGATGCTCTGATGTGGGTCCCCACCTGCAACAGACCAGGGCTCTATATCACAACCACAGACAACAATCACCCACACATGGCTGGAGCCATGGGTGGTGATATATTTCTATCTCTTATGGTATCATATCTCTCCTTCCCCATTTTTCTGTTTCAATATTCCTCTCTTAGGGTGATCACATCCTCCAAAACATCTAGATACGCTTTTCATTTTTTTCCAGTTACAGTTTCAATAGAATTGTTCACTGTTATGTAAGTTATCTAGCACTGTTTTGCTTTAATCTTTTAAAAAAAGGATTTGCTAACGAGGAACCTGGTTGCCCTGCCTCAGGGGCAGATCCCAGCAACTGCCCTCTCTGAGTACAGAGTAGAAGCAGAGCAATGGGGCTCTTAATCTAGATGCGTTACTTGAGTGCTTGAAATTAGAAAGTAATTGTAATTTAAGAAAACAGGGATTTGGATACAGAAAACAGGAATGTGTTTTCCTGGAGGCCTTAATATCTCTTACAGTATTTGCTGACAATTCTTTTCTTGATTCCTGCCTGAAATCCAGAAAGGTCAGAAGTATTTTGCTTAGTTTTTACAGTGTTGGGTGACTTGTTGAATGCTCACTCATGATGTACTCCAAAATGTTGGATCAAATTAAGTATTATTGTCTTGCTAAATACCATGATTTAAAATAATGGTCCAAATATTTCAAATTGAATCATAAAATCAGGCTCTGGAGTAAAAGTTGCTCTGTACATGTGTGTTTGGATTAATGATACTGCCCTTACATATTTTCAGATAAAGTTTTTCTGGTCTTTTGACTTAGCACTGCATCAAGTCCTGATGAAAAATTTGTATATTCTACAATATAAAGCTCATATAGAATGAGTCAAAAATTGGCTGGTGTTGCTCAAAAAGTAGCTGTCTTTGGGGAAATCACCAGTGAATATGTGTGGGTTTTCTAGACATTGGAAGCCTGCAGCTGTTCTACACTTACATCAACAGTCTACAGATGGCATAATGATTTAGGAGGGGGTTGTCTAGCTGGCTTTGTGACTCAGGCTTATTTAAAGAATAAATGCTTTAATAAGAAAAAATACAATGTTAAAAGTCTGGCAGTGGGAGTGTGTGGTTCTGCTGAGAGTGGAGAAATGCGCTGGGAGCAGCCCTGGCTCTGGGAGGACTGTGTGTGCACTCGTGTGTGGTGTTACAGCAGCCCTGCTCTCCTGCCCTGCATGTTCAGAGGATGTGCTGGGGACAAACACAGCTTGTGTGGGCTCAGATGTTCGTGCCATCAAAAAAAGAACCTATGGGGGGTAGAGAGTGTGAAGAAAATAATTTAAAAAACAATAAAACCATCAGGCACAGGCAACATAAGTTCATAGAGGGAAATTTATGTTCATCTCATCTGGTATCTTTCTACAAGAAGGTCAGCTGTGTAGTGGGTGAAGAGAAGGGAGTGGATGCTTTCCGAGTTTTAGTAAGGCTTTTGATCCTTTTGTCCTTCATAGCATCCTCCTGGGAAAGTTGTCCAGCAGCGGGCTGAGCAGGCTCATGGTGTGCTGGGTGAAGAACAGGTTGGATGGCAGGGCTCAAAAGGGACTACACTGACTGGTGACCATTTCTCAGTGGTGCTCCTCAGAGATCAAGTCTAGGGTAAGATCTGTTCCATGTACTCATCAGTGCTCTGCATGCAGGAGGTGAATGCACTTGTGCTGGTTTCAGCTGGGGGACAGCTAATTTTCACAATAGCTAGTATAGGGCTATGTTTTGGATTTGTTCTGAACATGGCTGAGACTGCAGAGATGTTTTTGTTATTGCTGAGCAGAGCTTACACAGGGCCAGTGCCTTTCCTGCTTTTGAATGGCGATGCTGGCAGTGAAGCTGGGAGGAGACAAAGCCAGGACAGGTGACCCAAACTGACCAAAGGGATATTCCAGACCCTGTGACATCATGCTCAGGATATAAACTGGGGGGAAGAAGAGGAGGGGAATATTTGGATTGATGGCATTTGTCTTCCCAAGTCACTTTACATTTGATGGGACTCTACTCTTCTGGAAATGGATGAACACCTGCCTGCCCATGGGAGGTGGTGACTTAATTCCTTGTTTTCCTTTGCTTTTGCTTTCCCTATTACACTCTCTTTATCTCAACCCACAAGTTTTCCAGCTTTTACCCTTCCAGTTCTCTCCCTGATACTGGAAAATGAGGGACAGAGTGAGTGGCTGCTTGGAGCTCAGCTGCTGGCTGGGGTTAAACCTCAACAGCACTGTTACCACATTTGATATTAATTATATTCCCTCCTAACATTTTAATAAGTGGAGAATAAGGGTTTGGTTGAGTGATTAATGTATCTGTAAATTAAAATGAATGTATTTTGCTTATTTTATTCATGTTAAATAAGGAATTGTCAAATGTTATCTTTGGATAAGTAGGAGTAATATGAGTGCATCATGCTGACATTCCCCGAACCTGTGCTGTCCTTGGAGGTTTTGTTGATAGATACAGGTCTGCAGAGAAGAGTGCCAGAGAAGTCAATAGAGCAGGACATATGCAGGCATTTTCAGGATTTTGTCTGAACACTAGTTGCAAATGCTTGGTTTTGTTTATTATAACTGAGTGTTCAGAAAAGTGTTAGACTAATAATTAAATTATAATGACTTTGATCTAGGATTCATAGTTACTTTGCCTATCAAAGAACATTGCACCATTCAGAGCTTGAACTAATAGGAATTCATAGGAATTCATTGTGATCTAGGTAAGAGTAGACCCAGGTAACTACTCTGCTTTTTACTTTTTTCTCTCTTAATACAAAACTGATTTCATCTTGATGTGATGAAAAACTACTTATGGAGAAGCTAATTGTTGATTAACTTCCATATTCATAGTTAAAATGTCAAAAAAATAGATATGTGTGCTTTATGATTTCCAAATTATTTCACCTTTCTTTTTACTTTTAGTTGCCAATTTCAGATGATGTTATGAACCAGCTTGGCTGTCACAATATATTAAAGATTTTATAATTTAACGGAGTTTGACAAAGAATATGAATATAGTATTAAGATAGGATATAAGAATAGTGATGCTGAGTGGTACCACAGAATCCTTTCTTGAGCAGTGGTTAGTAATGGATGCTGAGGCTGAGAACAGGAGAGGATAATGTGAGGTTTCCACAGAAATATCTTCTCCTTCTCCAGCAGTTATCCTTATAGATATCTATTGATCCCACACAACTCTATAAAGATGGTTATAGGGAGTTAAAGGCATTAATTTCAAATATCTGTATCTGTTGTCAGACAGTGCAGTTGTTTTCAATGGACAAATTAGACATAGCTCTATGCCATTACCTTTTCTGCAACTGCCTAATGGCCGCAACCATCTGGAGCAGGGTGTTTGTGAATTCAAAAGAAATAATGACTGAAAAATATTGAACAGTGTATCTCAGAAGGTAACCAGAATGTATGACAAAAGTATAAAACAATGAAATGTTATTCAGAAGCTGAAATAGTAATGTTGCACATAACAGCAACTAGACAGTATCAACTTAAACTGAAAACTTGCAAAACAAAAATTACAAACTTCATGCGAGACTGTGACTGCTGTGAAATGTGACGATGAAGTGCACACCACAAGTCAAGGACTTACTGAGGTTTATACAGAGGTGGCACATACAATTCACAAAAATACCGAGTTCTAACAGTTAAGGCTCAGGTTTCTGCACCCCAAGTGTTATGTTCAGTTTGGGACTCTCACCACAGGACAATGAGGTGCTGGAGCATGTCCAGAGAAGGAGGGTGTAGCCAGGTGGAGCTCGGCCTCTTCTTCCAGACAAGCAACAGGACAAGAGGAAATGGGCCTCAAGTTGCTCCAGGAGAGATTTAGATTGTGTATTAGGAAAATTTCCCTCACCAAAAGGGTTGTCAGGTACTGGAACAGGCTGCCAAAGGAAGTGGTAAAGTCATCATCCCTGAAGGTATGTAAAAAAGGTTTAGATGTGGTACTTGGAGACATGGTTTAATGAGGAACTTGGCAATGCTGGGTTAAGGCAGGACTTTGATCTTAGAAGTATTTTCCAATCGAAAAGTTTCTCTGATTCTTCTGCAGAAGGGTTAAATGGCACGCTTCAGAAGTTATGCCAACACACACTGAGTCTCTAATGACGGAAAACCACGGAGCATCTGTGTGCTCTTGGACTTCTTGCATCTTTTTTCTTTGTTTCTTTGGAACATTTGATATTGGCTGTGCAAAGACACCAGATTAGACAAGACATATGAGTCTGCTTCTGCCTTTTTGTCTTGAACTGTTATGATTATAGGCAGTTTGACACCAGGCCTGCAATACGTTATGGCATGAAATCGCTCCCACTTGAAGAATCTGGGGCTGTTGCCATTTAAGAGAGCAGCAGGACGCACGGGCGAGGCTTTAGACCTCGGGGCACAGCGCGTCTGCAAGGAGGGACCGCAACACCGTTTTGTGCTGACGCTGCACTTGGTTCACGTCAGCCTGCGAACCACCGCGGTGCTCGCCTACCCTGTCTGATATTTCACCTTCTTTTTGGCAACAAAAAAGCCAAAAAACAAACCCACAGCAGGCACAGTACTCACGGGAGCTCACCCGTGACCGAGCCCCCGCACCTCCCGGGCAGCACAGCTTCCCTGGCCCGCCCTCTCTCCCTCCCCGCGTTCCCGTGCCCGGCTTTCCTCCCGAGTCCCCTCCCATGTCCCGCCCCGCGGGCGAGGAGCCGGCCCCGGGCTCCATCCCCGGGCTGTCCCCGCCGGCTGCCGGCGCCGCTGCATCGCTGTGCGACTGCGGGAAGCGCCGCCCGCCCGCACCGGCGTCCCGCGGCCCCGAGCGGCTCGGGGGCAGCTTTACAGAGCCGGCCCCGGCGTATATAACATGTCTGATTACCTATAGAGAGAGATGTGTATAAAAGGGTACTCATGCTGACCTCATAATGAGAGACGAGCCAATTCCCGCTCGCAAAGGGAATGTTCTGTGTGCAGGCACGCCGTGCTCCTGCGCTTGCTGTGACAGAGCCCGGCGGGCTGCGAAGGTGCCCGACCTCCCCAAGAGAAGAGAGTGGCCCGGTGGTCCCCGGGCTCCGCGCCGAGCTGCTCACCTGCAAGAACAGACCATGCCCAGGCCCTGCCGAGGCTCCCGCGGCAGCACGCTAGATCCCAAGGAGGAATGCTTTACAGGTAGGTTTGGTTAGCTGTTGTCTTTTGCGTGTCTCTTGTGTTCCCCCGGGGTTTTTTTGGGAATGGGATAAACACAAAGAATGTGTTGGTTGGTAACAGTGCAGTGTGTAATGCAAAACAAGAGCTTGGCTGGCTGTGCTGCTTTATTACATTGTTTTTACTGGTAATGTGTCGGAAACCTCCAATTCATATTTTACTCGAAGGACACTACCAAATGTGTGTATGTGGACTCTCTATGTTTCTGACAGTGTTAACTCCCCCGCCATTCGAGCTTTCTGCAGCTTTCCTAATTGCTGGGCCTGACAATGGGTGGGAATAGCCACTGGCATTTCTGGCCATACCTGGAAGGAACACTCGTTTTCCTGGACATTCATGCCCTGACGTGCCCTGCACCTTGGGAGCAAAACTGTCCTGCCCTAGCTCCTCAGACTGAGGCCTGTCTGCAGAAGTGGACAGCAAAATCCCCTATTTAGGTAGTGAGGAGAGCCATGAATTAAGAACATTTATCAGTATCATTAAAAACTGATGAGGATGCATAACGAAAAAAGTGCTAATATTAAGGACTTTTTGCAGATAATGCCACCATTGTTTACTACAGGGGTTGATGAGTGAACCGAAATTACCAAGAGGACTTTCAAGGGATAAGCGTGATGTTACGACTGATACATTTTAGAGAGGTTAGGCTAATTTGTCAGTTGACCAGCCTTTCAGTTTTTGCTTAATAATGAGCACACAGTCTAGCCTACTCACTGAAATTTATGGATGTGTGAGTGTTGGTGGATCATGACCTCATTACCTGTACAGTTCAGTTTCTGCACAAGCCCCCTGAGGGTTACTTCTGTGTTGTCTCACAGGGATTTATGAAATTTAAATTTGTACAATGCCCTGGAAAGGGTAACAGTTTTTATGCCTACGAATTTTATTGCTCTTGCATTGAGTATTTTACTGGCTTTTACAATATATTAAAATTCTGAGCAGTGGGATGTTTCAGTGTTTCTAAAATAATTTTTGGTTACGCTTTTTGGCACAGTCCTGCTGGTCTACTGACACAGTTACTTCTGGGCTTGCAGTGCTGCTAAAATAACACTCCAATGATGAGACTCTCAAAAATACTTTCTTCACTCTAATGTTTGAAATAAAGCCAACTGGGTTACATTTTTCTCAGAAATTATGTTACAGTGTGTTGGAGATTTTTTCAGGGATGGCCTAGAAGGCAGCTGTGAGGAGCAGGTTCTCACAGCCTGTTTTTGTGAACAGCAGAGGTTCTCAGGTTATTTTTAACTACAGGTAAAAGTGACAAGCATGAAGGCCTTGAGA